ATACTTATTACTGAAATATGAGTACCATTACAGTTTTTAGCAAAAATATTATATTAATCTGTTCTCTCACTGCTACTAAAGACATACCTGAGAGTGGGTAATTTATTTAAAAAAAAGTTTAATTGACTCAGTTCAGCATGGCTGGGGAGGACTCAAGAAACTTACAGTCATGGTAGAAGGGAAGGCAATCACATCCTTCCTCACATGGTGGCAGGAAGGAGAAGAATGAGTGCCCAGTGAAAGGGGAAGCCCCTTATAAAATCCTCAGATCCTGTGAGAACTCAGTATCATGAGAACAGGATGGGGGAAACCACCCCCATGATTCAGTCAGTTATCTCCACCTGGTTCCTCCCACAACACATAGGGATTATGGGAACTGTAATTCAAGATAAGACTTGGGTGGGAACACAGCCAAACCATATCAAAGATTAAATATTTCTCACAATGAAGAGAGTATATATATTGGTAAATATAAATTCTAAGATTTAATGGAAATTTAGTGAATCATGATTTTCTTCAGTGTTCTTTCACATTAAGAGATAAAATTTTTTAGCTTAGTAAAGTGTCTCTGTCTCTACTTCCATCTTTCTATCTGATAATGTGGCACAAGGCAGCTTTCGAAAACAAATGAAGAAATGCTACAGTAAAAGCATATTTTCCTGATTTCTATCAGCTGTTAATATCTAGCATTAATTTTCCTGGTAGAATGTTTGAGGACAATAAAAAGGAGACTGGTAAAAAGGAGAAGACACACCCTCCACATAGGTCAGTGGGGAGGTGGACATACACGTACTTTTAATGCTACTTTTAGGGCTTTACAAAGTTACTGAAAGCCTAGGAGGTCTATTTAACTGGGCATCAGATGTTATGTAAAGTGTTGTGGAGGCTGATGTATTTTAATTTCAGCATTGCTCCCATCTGCTTCTCTGGTAACTGGCCCTGCTAAACCTATCTAACATTATTGTCTAGTGTGTCTATATCAGGGTTCTCTAGAGAAGCAGAACAAACAGGATAGGGTGTGGGGGGTAGGTGCGTGTGGATGTGCGAGTGTGTATATGTGTTTGTATGAGTTTTTGAGGCGGTATTTTTAAGGTTGAATTGACTGAAATTGGCCACAATTTCAGGGAATGAAAAATTGAATCAGAGGATAGGTTAAGAGACAATGAATATGTGGTGGGTGTGAGAGAAAGGAAAAAGTTCACTGTGATTCTGAAATTCCTAGGTTAGAATGGAGTAAATGAATGAGCTATGTTAGGAAATACATGGAAATTAAGTTTTGAGTGTGCTGCATTTGAGATGCCTGAGGAGCAGTTGGGAATGCATATCTGGAGAACAAAGAGGTTCAGGTTAGGGGGACTGTGGGGTCCTCAGCTTAGGCCTGTGGTGGAGCCAGGTGAAAAGAAGAGACCAGCTAAGGAGAACATGTAAACCGATATGAAGCCCTAAGTATTAGCATTCCCTGCCGTATAAATATTTGATTGCCAGATTAGTTATATTGATAATGAATTTTATGTGAAGCAAAAGAAATGGGAGCATTTGAGTAATCTACCATATTCCCCTAATATTCTCAAAAGTAAATTGTCGTATGTTAAGGTGGATCACTAACCTGGAATTATTTATGTGTATCAACATGACAGTGAGTTAACTCATCTGTTTGATGCTCAGCACTCATCTGTAGACAACCCAACCCCATGATTGGTTTTACTATATCTACCCATGTTTTACTGTAAGGATATCTCTATGTAGTAGCAGTGGAGTTGCTTGTTTTCTCTCAACTAAATGTGATGTCAATCCTATATAAAATCTCACTTCTTTCCTTGGCTCCTGCAAACCTATCTCATCTCTTTGCTAATTTGGCTCCAGCTGAAGGAGGCTTCTTTCTGTTCCTGTCTAAGGGCCTTCACACATAGTAGTTACTCAATAAATACTTCCGAAATGGATGAATGACTGCCTTGTAGATTTGTTCTGAGAAGTAAATGCAAAAAAGTGTATGAAGAGCCTAATAATGTACCTGGTGCATTAGAGGTGTGAAATAAATACCCCTTTTGACCATTTTATTTTTTGTTTCTCCAAATCCCTAACCCTAACATTCCTGTCCTTTTCTGCTCCAATCTACTTTCCAACCCTTCTCCTCCAGCCAGCTTACTCTCTAGTTTCTGCACCCCCACAGGCCGGGGACCATATATGATCTCTTCAGTTCACATTTAGTGTGGCTTCACGAGGCAGACTTTTGACATTAATTCTTACCTGTTTGGAACTTATTTACATGAATTTCTGGCTGAAGGAGATGTACTTCTATTTGAAAACTCCAGGCTGATGAATTTTTTAACTTGCCAGGGCTCATTGAATGAAGCCATACTAAGTACGAATTGAAGAGATCACAATTTAACATGTGGGTTTTCATACGTGTCCTCTCTTGAGTGACCCTATTTCTTATTACATATAAATAATTATATATGAATTCCTAATCCAGGACACTGAGCATATAAATCGTTGTGCTGGTGATTCTCAGAATAATGATTATCCTCTGCGGACTTGGTCACAGACCTACATAGGGAATCTTTACCACTCACAAAGCACAGTCATGATCGCACCATTATTATATGGATTTGGAATCAACACTTGCATAAATTGTAGCCAACATTGATTGAACACTATGGGTCAGGCAGTATTCTAAGCTCTTAACATATATCACTTTACGAGTTTGGTTTTATTAGTATTCCTGTTTTATACTTACTAACTTGCCTAAGGTCACTCTGCTACTGTTTGGCAAGTTAGGATGTAAGCCCAGGTGGTCTAGTTTCAGATTCCTGTCCTTACCTGTGCTTTTTATTCAATACTGCCTTAGCAGCAGTTTTGGAGTCATAGAATTAACATCTATTTTTTAGGGTTTGAGTCTAGATTTTAAAAAGAATATACCATTATAGTTTTCAAATACTTCTAACAGTTTCTTTCTACTCTGTACCAACCACTTCAAGTCTTTTTTCCCATAAGGCAGCTACTGTTAACAATATATTCAGAACCTTTTTCATCACAAATTTTTTATGAAACATCTTAGTGTGCTTGCTTAGATTCCCCCTTTCAGTTGTTTGTTTTCTGAAAGTTCAGCTTATTCGTAGTTGGTGAAAGTTTTAAACACCAATGGTCCAGACACGACTCCAGTATGTTCGTGTGTGCATGTGTATGTTTCATCTGTGTCCAAGGCAGACTTTTGAAATCAGTTAAATTCTTACCTGTTTGGAACTTATTTACATGAGTTTCTGCCTGAAGGAGATGTACTTCTGTTTGAAAACTCCAGGCTGATCAGTTTTTTTTTTAAGTTGCTAGAACTCAAACTTATTTGACAAATCATCTATGACCCTATCGCTTTGATGCTCAGAAACAAATGAACCAATAGCCTTCCTGGCTAAGGAAATGGGTTTGGATGGAGTTTTCAATGCATAGCTTTATGGACTCAAGAATCAAATGTTTTCTAAACAATGTGAAGAAAATTTTGTTTCTAGATCCTTATATTTTCTCTATGTCTCCTTTTCTGCAGAAAAGCTCTGTAATTTTTAATCAGTAACACAAAAAAAATGCCTCTATGGAAATGTCCATAATTCTCAGCATGCAGTGGATCATTTTCCTAAAAAGTGAGATCACCAGAAGCAGAGAGCAGAGAAGTCCCAGATGGCACTAATATTTGACTTCATTTTTAGCACGCTCATATTCAGCAGATGGATTGGAAGGCTGACCTCTCTGACACTTCTGCATCACTGCCTGCTACTCCAATTGCCTTTGTGAATGTTTTTTCATAAGGCTTCGCCTGGTACCTCAGAGATTGATGCCTGGTTGCCTGCCTGTGTTATGCTTCATTTCACCAGGGTTCTGTGTGGTTGAGAGTTGCTGTATTCTATCAAAGGGGAAATCCTGGCTCATCAGTATCTCAGGCTTTTCCTACAATCTCTCAAATTGCGTGTAACGTCTTGGAACACATCATCTTAGCTTTCTACGTGCACCCCTGATTTGTATCCATCTTTAATCCTAGTCTAATTCTTCCACTTTCTTTTGCCATTGAAAATATAGCAAAAGCCACAGTTACTTTTGCACCAACCTAAATAGCTAACTCAAGAATAATGTAAAAAAAAAGTTAAAATACCTACTAAGCACAAACATTTGAATATTTTAATGTGAATATTGCTGATCTCCTCCTTGAGCTGTAGTTTCAGTGGCCAAGAACAAAGATCTGAGTTAGAGTTTCCAATCATTCCATTTTCCTTAAGGGTAAGCTTTACTTTAGAGTAAGTGTCTATATTCTTATTTATAAGCTAGTGATATTATTTGTGCCAGGCAGTTAGGATTGGTGTGAAGATTGAATATCATATGGTCATCACAGTATCTGGCACAGAGTAAATGCACAAAGAATATTGGTTTGTGGTGTGCAAAATAACTTTTGTATATATAATATAAATATAAAATGAATGATAAATTATTAGATTGTGAGCAAAGTGAAATGTTAAGAAATCTTTAATGATCATACTAATGCTGTGTTTTAAAGCTTTGTATAAAATTACCGTATTCCTTGTTATGGACCATTATGATGTCCACACATCTATTTAGAGATGGCCATCTTCTCCCACCTACCCTCACCTGCTAGTTTCAGTGGCGTGGCTACAGACAAGGAACTATCCAATAGCATGAGTATCCAGTGGGTTTTGTTTTTTTTTCCAGGCAGGTTGACCTGTATGGCCATTCTTTAAAGTTCTCTGGGAATACTCAATTCTGAGGAGGATTAGGTCGCTGTGTCCTTCCAGGTTACTTGTTCCCACACAACCAGATTCTGGTACACATTTTAATGCATAGCATACTTTTGACTTAGAAAACATTGTACATTTAGCAGTTACTGTGCTTGAATCAGATCTCTACCTGATGTAATTTTGATGAATTTAGGGTTTAGATGCCTAAATTGCAGCTTTGTTGTGAAACTTTCTATAGAGAGTTATGTTTTCTCCTTTTTATAGGTCTAACATAAGGCCAGACTATGCAGACTCCAATTTCCACGACTTCAAGATGCACACCTTCACTAGAGTCACATCCTGCAAAGTCTGCCAGATGCTCCTGAGGTAAGCTTGCTCAGTGCTGGTTTTCAGTGTAAAGGAATGATGTAATTGCTAAGTGTTTCAGACTTGTCTAACCTTCTAACCAGTAGGTTCTAAAGTGGGGATTTTACCTTAGCAGTCTGGATCCCACAAATCTTTGCCAGGCCTTCTGCCTGGACAGTCCTTTCAGAAGCTCTGGCAAGCTCCTCACTCTCTGCTTGAAGAGCACTGTTGATACCTCTTTTCCTCTTCTTATACTAATGATTTCATATGGGCAGAATTTTACATCATTTAATACACCAGTCTCTAATTTTACCTTTCAGGGGAACATTTTATCAAGGCTATTTATGTTTTAAGTGTGGAGCGAGAGCACACAAAGAATGTTTGGGAAGAGTAGACAATTGTGGCAGAGTTAATTCTGGTGGTAAGTCATGTTTATTGTTGCGATTCTGTTTTTAATGAGGACATAAAATTTGCTAAACATAATTAAGGCCTAATTTACTCTGAATATGTGTTTATTGTAACATATCTGCTTTTGAAGCTGTTTATAAGCACAATTAGAAAAATGCTTATAATTTACATGTCTTTTCTACGTAACTTTGTTTTAAATTATTTAAAATTCATGTGACTTTTATACATACCTTGGAGACAGAGATCTTCAAGAGGGAGTTGGGTTTTTTTATGTCACCCATTTCATTAAAGGCCTTAAATAAATTACTAAAACCGTACAAATATAGCCAAAACAAATCAAATAGAGTGACAAAACAGAAAAAAATATATTTTTCACTTCTATCTTTAGTTCTTAAATTTCCTTTTTATTTTAAATATTTAGCTCAGAAATGATAATGGTGCCAGAAGTAAACATCACACAGACTAATTCATGAATTAATGAATTGAATACATTGTCATTTTGCAGAACTTAACAAAGAGCATATATCTTTTGGATTTTATATAAATATTTTCCCCTTGGTTTTTAAAAATAATGCTGCATGATTGTTACATGAGCTGGTTTCTAAGACTGTTGGCAATTATGCATTCAGTAGCCTATTGCCTCTCTGTGCTCCTCTTGGGCTCTCTTCCTTCTCTTTCTTTTCTGGCTTCTTTATTCTTTCTCTTTCTTCTTTTTTCTCTTTGTCCTTTTCCCCTGAGTTTCTCTGTGTTTTTATCAATAAGACCTTTCAAAATCAGTAAAACTTTTGAACACAAGAAAGGATCTTTAACAGCTTGAGTTCAAAAGGTAGCCATGTCAACCTTTGATTTTCCCAAAGGAAAAGGTGGACATTGAATTATTTTGGATAATGTGAAAAAGAGTAAAATAGAGAATAGCTCATTTCAGAGCTGAGTTCAGAAAATGGCCAATTGTAGAAAAGGTAAATCCTATTAGAAGACTGAGATCACAGCACATTCCTCTGGGACATTTTTAAAGCACCCTGTGTGCCATTCTCTGTGCTAGGCTTGAGCAGCTGTAACGTGAGAGATCTTGGCATCAGTTGAGTGCCTACATTGTGCCTGCCCTGCCTGGGTGCTCTATTGGGCATCTTCTTGCATGAGCTCATTCCTTCTTCAGAATGGCCCTGCACATTTCCTGATGGGGGTCAGATTGCTCATGCAATTTACTCAAGGCCTGTTAAATAAACTTACTTCTTACGTCTGTTGGAAGGCCAGAAACAGTTTACAAAGTCATAAAATATAATAGAAATAAAAATTATTGTTGTTATTTTTTAATGTCAACCCGATATAATTTATCACTTAAATTTTTGTTGTTCCATCTTTATATGTCCCACTCTTTAATCTCTTTGGAGACAGTTAACGTGTTATTTACTCATGGTAGGCTAATGTTTATATAAATCCCAAGGCTCTGTCTTGATGAGATGTCTGTGAAGAATGTAAAATGATCCTATGGTTGGCTTTTAAAGGAAATAATGTAGGAGAATAGTTCAGAGTCAAGCAGAGATAGTTGAAATCCTAGCTTTGACATTTGCTATCTATGTGTGCTTGGGGAATTTACTTAAATATTCTGAGGTTTTGTTTATTCATCTTGTAAATTAGAGGATTATGATGAGGATCCAGTGAGATAATGTCGATTCGTACTACAGTACCTGAGCAAAGTAATCTAAAGTGATACAGTGAAAAGTCAGGGTTTTTTTGTTTTGACATGGTTTTGTTTTGACAAGACATGGGCTTACTTAGTATTTTTGTTGTTTTTCTGATCTGGAGTACATGTGGATGGGAAAGTTAATGAGCGATCTAAGTTGCTTATTCAGTACAACCAAGATTCAAATCAAGGCAGGCCAGCCCCTGAGTTTGTTCTTACCACTGGGCTCTGCTACCAGTTAGGTGGATTAGCTGTGATGAGAACGTGTCAGATGTGTTGAAAGCCCACTACTGATTCTTAATAAGTAATCATGTGCTTCCCTTTCTCTGTGAAAGGGAGTGATTTTCTAATGTATTTTTTTAAGGCACAAACACTTTTAAATTCAATTAAATTAGTAACTACCCGTTTTTAGGTTTGAGTGTTCTGTAGTGTTGTGAGAAGACATCCATTCCTGGGGACCATGCCTACTGTCTTCCCATGGAAACTCTCCAGGCTGGATAGACTTTAGTCACAGTCAGTTCTAGGGCCTCTTATTTTAAGATGAAGAAACTAGGTCATAAATATATGAAAATAAAATAAGAATAATGCTGTTAGTGCCCTGCAGATTGTAGATGCTTATCAGACAGATACCATCAATTAAAAAGTACACGACGGAGACATAGTTTACTTTAATAGGGCTTTTGCATGGAGAAGAGTGTGATATGATTTCAGCAGAACTTGTCATTAAGGGAAATCATTCCAACAGCCAAATTTAAAGCAATGAGTACTACTGATTTAAGGGAAACTCTAATGTTTACATAGTTCAGACTCCCCCATAACATTAAATCATAGGTGGTTTGAAATTCACCCCTACTTTACAGAGCTTCATAGCAATAATGTTTAACATAGTCTAACTGTACTCTCAAGCAACAAAAAGAGATCCCGATGGACTTAATGTGGGTCAGGAGTCCACTTGTGGTCAAGAAAGCTGTGACTAGTAGGAGTTGTGACAAACATTGGATAGTTGGCGTGAAAGGCAATTCCAAAAAGGGAGCAGGCAGAGGTTGGTTAATGGATATAAAAGTACACCGATGGGAAGACTAAGTTCTAGTGTCCTATAGCACTTTAGACTGACTATAATTAACAACAACTTACTGTATATTTTCAAATAGCTAGAAGAACAGATTTTGAATATTCTTGACACAAATAAATGATAAATGTTTGAGGTAATAGATATGCTAATTATCTTGATTTGGTCATAGCAGATTGTATACATATACTGAAATATTACACTGTACCCCATAAATATGTAGAATACTGTTAGTTCCCTGCAGACTGTAGCTAATGCTTGCTTACACCGATATCATTGATTGAAAAGTAGCATCGTTTTCTAAACTTTGTTATGTAATTCACTACAAAGCAGGAAAATTTTTTAAAACCTCTGGCTTTAAATGTTTCAATTAAAAATAATAAAAGAAAATATTTATGAAGGGGGGGCATACCATCTTTATTCAACATCAGACATGTTTCTAAAAAGGGATGGTCGAGTAGAGAAGAGGCACTAATTGTACAAAATGACAGGGTAACCCAGGGGCTAAATGAAAGCTAGAGAATCTTTTACCATACCTTTTAATGGACAGATCTGTAGGACCTCACATTGAGGCCGTACCTTATTTTCTTTTTCATTTGACACTGTTAATCATCCTCCTTGATGCTATCCTTCACAACCTGTCATGCCCCATGCTATCTTTTGGAAATCTGATTGGCTTTCCTGGCTTAGCTATAACCCACACCCCAGGCAGATAAAGGTCCACCTGTGCATAAAACTTCTCTCCTGAAATATGGATTTTAAATTTCCATCTTCTCTTTACATATTCCCTCCCAAGTGTCTTGCAGTGACCTCAAAGGTCCCATAACTAAAATCAACCTCATTCGTCATTACTACAAACTTCCCTCTCCTGTGTCTTGTCTAAGTTGAAGGCCCACCATCCATACACTCACACAGCCCTGGGTGTCACTCTTCGTCATCTTGATTCACTTTCCTGTTTTTCTTAGCTCTCCCCCTAAGTCTCTCTAGAATGTACTGATAATGGTGTTGCTATATACAGAAAAATCTCATTGTTTTTTGCTTGAACAACTCAAAAGTTTCCTAACTCTCTGCTCTTAATCTTATTCTTATACAATTTATAAAATGATCTTTATTAAAATTAAGTCTGATTGTTTTCCTTTTTTGCTTACCCTCCTTTACGTTTCCTACAGAATAATGTCCAAACTTTCCAGTGTGGCCTACAAAGCTCTGAGTAATTTATACAGCCCGAGTTTTTACCACTTTCTCTCATCCCCTGACCTGTAACGCAACTCTGTTTAACTACTCACAGTTCCCCAACCACTTTTTTTCATGTCTATGTGTATGTATCTAAGTGTATTTTGTTTTTCTCTTTTACTGTTTTTCCTTTTCTTTTCTGTTTTGTAAACTTAATGTTCATCTTTAAAAACTCAATGCAAATGTTGCCTCCACTTTGAAAACCTTTTCTGATACTCCTAATGCCTGGGCTTTATTAGTCTGTCAGTTTTCTGTACTCCCCTGGTGTCGTATATTTATTTACTTTTATCACATTTATTATAATTGACTCTAGGTTCATCTCTTCAATTAGACTATGGGCCTTGCAGTGATAGGAACCATACCTAACTGGTGTATTGACCTCAAGGAAGTAGTGGGGTATGCATTAGTGAGTGGATGGACCAGCAAATGGACAGGCAAATGAGTAGAATTGTAGTGCAGCAGGGCTTCCAGGCCCTGAGAATCACTATAATCTTAGAATTAGAATCGAGACAGTTTGGGGATTGTATAGGTTTTGGTTTCACCTTCGTAGAGACCAGAGGTTGACTAGTTGATGGAAAAGTGGAATTAAAAACCTTACCTGAGTTCCTGGCTGGTACTTTCAGAATGAAAGATAGAAAATTAGGTAGACCTTTTAGATTCCTTTCTAGTGTTTTGGCAAGGAAAAGCTCATGGCCTAAGCATCCATCATTAGGCCTTTGAGAGGAAACATCTGGGTTAGTTAATAAGTAGCAAGAAAATGAACCAATTCACAGAACACCTGATGACAAAAATGCCTCTCTTTCTGGATAAATCTACTCCCTGATCTGATCAGTCCAATTGTTAGAGATCTCACTTGGCTCTTACTATTTCCTCTCCCTGAAACATGCTCCCTTTTCTCCGAACAGGTCCAAGGACTACCCTTTCGTTACTTTCTGTCCAAGCTCTTTGCCCGTCATTAACCTCACCTCGACCACCCAGTAGTAGCCTGAATTAAATTGTTCTCTAATTAGTTTCTATGTAGGTTTTA